ACAGCTTGCCTAGCTCTCTAACCTCACTCTAAATCTCTAGCCTCCCCCGACCCACCCCCCACGCCTCAACCTCTGCCTTCTCCCTGGCCAGCAGTTCATCCTTGTCAAGGCTGGAGGAAATACATTGTGTCCATTACCTCCCTTGGTCCTCTGAACTAGCTTATCCCACACCACTCTGCATTTTACAGCGGCCCTACCAGTTAGGTCATTTAACCCATGCATGGGAGAGGAAGAAGGCTCAGAAAAGGCCCACAGAAAATCCTGAGCACTTAATCCCTATTTCTTCTGGGAGCTGTGCACTGCCCCGGACCATTTCCCTATGGGAAAGTGTTTTCTTATCAGTGAATGAGAGTGTGTGCCATGTTACTCTAAATAAATGTTTTGACTTAAACTCGTTCTGTCTTTGACACACAAGCACTTAATGTCTATTTAAGGAAAAGCTACCTTCTCCCTGCTTTCAAATGGGAAATGACTTCCACTGTTTGACATTTGCGAACAAAGGCACAGGCCAAAGCTCTAACCATGCCTGAACAAGTATAGGCTGACGTCCCGAGAGCCGGGCTGGTGCTAAACTGTGACATCTTACAGCCCAGAGACCTCCAGGCTGTGCAACGCGGGCTTCGCGCGCTCAGCCGCCAGGCGTTGCCGTGCGCCGCGACACTTCGCACCCGGAACCAGGTTCAGGGGAGGGACCCCGAATCCTTCCGCCTACGCCCTGTCCCCCAACCCCGCCAGCAGCAGAGGCCCAGGCTAGCCGCGGTCTAACCAAGACCACCACCGCCCGCATCTCACCTCCTGCAGCGACTCGGGCACCAACGCCGGCACGATGGGTCGCTTCACGCCCCGCTGCTCCTTCTCCTTCTCCCCGCCCTTCTCCTTCCCGTTCTCCGCGTCCCCCTTCTCGGCTTGGGTCATCTCTGCTACCGCCGACCACCACCAGCCCCGGGGCTCAGGAACACCGCCCGCACAGCCAGCGGAGGAGAACCATCGCGCAGGCGCAGCTTCCCCAGGTTGCCCACAATCAAGATGGCCGCCACTGGCGTCGCTCCTAGAGAATTCTGGGAACTAGGGAATGACAGAGTTGGAGTTTTGATTTTCCATTGTTTTTGGTGATGGTGGGCAGAGAACCCAGGGGCTAATGAATGGTGAGCATGATCCTTTTACCCGTGAGCTACATCTTCAGTGTACTACTTTTTTTTTTCTTTTTAAATTTTCTTTTAGACAGGGACTCACTATCTCTGGCTAGCCTGGAACTTGCCATATAGACCAGGCTAGCTTCCAACTCTGAAATTAAAGGTGTGTGGCATCTCACCTAACCCTAATAAATTTTGAGCTATGGTGTGAGTCAGAGGTTAACTGGTCTCATTTAGACCCCGAAGGTCTTCATTCACAGGCACCATGATACTTTAAGTTCTTACAGTTTGCTGGTCCTGTTCAGTCTGGCCTATTGAGTTATTTGGGACTAGGTTTTTTTTTTTTTTTTTTTTTTTTTTTTTTTTTTTTCCGAGACAGGGTTTCTCTGTGTAGCTTTGCACCTTTCCTGGATCTTTCTTACTTGGTAGCCCAGGCTGGCCTCAAACTCACAAAGATCCGCCTGGCTCTGCCTCCTGAGTGCTGGGATTAAAGGCATGTGCCACCACCACTTGGCCTGTAATTTTTTTGCCTGTGAACTTTCTCCCACACTAGAATGTAAGCTCCATGAGAAGTGTGCCACAGCCAGCCTCGGAATGTGGTGAGAAAACTAGGAGAAATTTATCTGAGCTGGGTGTGGGGGAGCACCCTGTAATCCCATGTGCCTGAGAAGGCAGCAGTATCTTGAGTTGAAGGTTAGCTTAGAGTTGAAGGTTACCTTGGACTGCATGAGACTGTCTCAGTAAACCAATAAATAAACAATAGATAAATAAATAAATAAATAAATAATAAATAAAAATAAATAAATAAAAATTAAAAGATCATTGTCCAGCATGGTCTACCCTTCTTGATGGTTTAAGTGAGAAAACATGATTCAAAGTCATAAAGCTACAGAATAAAGACAAGTTTCGAATACAGGGTATACAAGAGCAGTAGATCCTGTATTACATGCTACAGTAGTTCTCAAGCGCAGAACAGATCAGCTAAATTCAAGCTGCATGACTCTGGGCTAAGTCCTCAGAGAGGAAGCATGCACCTCAGCTGAGTCAGAAAGGCTCTTTAGGCCACAAGCACAAAGCAGCCACTGCTTACACTACGTCACCTACTAAGGCCCTGGTCTTACAATGAGGTGAAACTTAACCATGTTCCTGCCAGACCGCCACACTATCTGGGGAGCTGTTGGGCTCCAGCAAGCCCTCACAGGTTATCTGTATAATTTAAGAATCATCTACATACCTACTTTGTCAGAATTGAAAACGTAAAACATGTTGGCTGGAACTGAGTGGTCAAACTGTTCTTTATCTAACCTATAACCACTTTTCTTCTTTGAAATCTGCTGTCTTGTGATACTACATCCCCATTTCTTTCACAAGGAGATAGAGCTTTCACCTAAATATTTTGGTTTCAACACGTGTATGTTGGACATATACTGTAATTCATCTTTGTAATATTTCAGTGTCTGTTTCACAGGGTAAACCAAGCAAACGGTAATCCCTGCAATCTCAGTACTCCAGAGGCAGATGAAGGAAGATCTCAAGCCCCAGCTCAAGGCCAGCCTGGGCTATAGATGTCTTGGTTAGTGTTTGACAACTTAATCTAGAACCACCTGGGAAGAGGAATCTCAGTTGAGAAAATGCTTTTATCAGACAGCCTAAGACAAGACTGTAGGGTGTTTTCTTGATTGATGTGTGGGACCATTGTGGGTAGTGCCAGCCCTGAGATGGTGGACTTGGGGTATATATACAACAAACAGGCTAAGCAAGTATTGGGAACAAGCCAGTAAGTAGTGTTCCTCAGGGTCTCTGCCCTAACTTCCCTGATAATCAAGACAGTCTTTATCACAGCGGTAAAGAAGCCAGCTAAGGCTCTAAAAAAAAAAAAAAAAATGGGGGTAGAGTAGGATGAACAGGGCTATTTAGGGAAAAACATGAAAGGGGTATCCAGATGGAACTGAAAGTAGGTAGGTAGGATCTTAAGCAATGGGATCAAATTCCTATTTGTCAAGATAGTGTAAAATCCGTGGTTTGAAGATTGGCCAGCATATAGCCAGTCATTTGAAGCTCAATTTTGTGGCCTTATAAATATCCTGGGGGCTGGAGAGATGGTTAAGAGCACTGACTGCTCTTCCAAAGGTCCTGAGTTCAATTCCCAGCAACCACCTGGTGGCTCACAACCATCTATAATGAGATCTGGTGCCCTCTTCTGGTGTAAAGGCATATATGCAGGCAGAACACTGCATACATAATAAA